AAATATGTTTATTATATATTTAAAATATTTTAATTGTATTAATTTTTTTTGTATTATAATTTTAAATATATTTTAAACCCATTATTATAACTTGGATAATATTAAGATAACAGAAAAAAAAATAATATAATTATAATATATTTGATATATGTTTAAAATATATTTATTATATTTCTATTTAAATAATATGGTAAATATATAATATTTATATTTTAAACATATTTAGCAAAAAGCATAGGTTTCTGTAAAGTATTTATTATGCATTTCCATTTAATATTTTATGGTATTCGATATCTGATTACTTATTTTTTTTTAGCGATTATATGATAAATTTATGAACTGTGTATTACGTAAATTGTAAAAATGATAAGTGATTGAATCGAAAGATGAAATGACGATGAGCGATCTCATGCTACACATGAAAAGAAGTTCACATAATAAAGCGGCTCTCAAGAGTAAAATTTACTTTTGATATCTATTATATATATATATATCTATATTAATAACATATAACAATTGTAAATGTTAATTATTTTTCAAGTTTAACCAGTTAAATGAAAAAATCGAACTAGTTATTCTAACCAGTTACTTATATGAAAAGTGAACTAGTTATTGTAGTTTATGACGTGTTTCTGAACAGTTTTACTTAGTATTCCCAACCATATTTTTACTTAATAGGTTTTGAGATATAACAACACTGGTGATATCACCAGTGGTGATAAATAGCAAACCTCAAACTTTTATAATTGAATGCAGACTGTTTTTATAGTAGAAGCTGTCTGCAAGTTTTCAATTAGCAGGAAAAAAAAACCTCGAAATTTTCAATTTACTAAATCTACAGCCAATTTTCGTATATTACTAGAAACAATATTAGAAAAGCTAAAATAAAAGAGAAATAATTAGATATATTCGCAAAAAAAATGTATAAAATTTAGTGATGAAATGACACTAATTTGAAAAGAGCGATGTAAATACAATATCCTTTTCGTCAAATGCTGATTTTTTTTTTTTTAAACACATTTGAATTTTCATTCTATTGATATCTTTGACACTATGTGAATGAAATTTACATCCATATAATAAACCGGTGCGTTCACAACTTGTAGAAATTGTTTTTTACTATATCTTTACAATTCAATTCTGCCAGTTAATGGTTCCTAATAATAAAATTCGTCTACACCATAGGTAGTATCAATTGCTTTTGTACTGTAAATGAAATGCAGTGATGAGATAATGGTCACAGTCAGTCAATGAAACAAGGATTTTCTTCCAAGATATTGATAATTTAAGTTAAGCAGTAAAATATGATTACTTTAAATAAGTAGCTATTAAAAATTATTTACTCTCTGTAGGAAAGTATTCTCCCTACCTTAAATTATCTATGTTAAAATAAAATCATTGGTTTAATCACTATTATAAAGTTCATAAACTTTAGCAGAAAGTGTATGTAACTAGTAATTAAATCTCATGATTTTTTAAGTAGTACTATAGGATGTATAGTTGTATAAAATCTCGTTACCACTTAAGTTTTTTTAAGGTCCGAAATCAAATTAAGTTAATTCCGAATCTATGGATGTTCCGTATCCACCTACAACGTATATACTGTGCATATTTTGTTATTTATAGATTTTATTATCTTGTATAAGCAACCTATGATAGTCAAATTTAAATTTATACAGTATAAAGAATCAATTGCAAACTCAATCTCGTTAGCATTTGAAATATTCAAAACTCATCATTTACACTAATTAGTTAAATTTATAATAAAATAGTTTGCTCTTGAAGCGAGTTCAAACAAAGAAGCGATAGGTTTATTTGAGCCTGAAGGGATTCAAATAACCCAAAGCGGTTCATTTGAAATAGGTTCATGTGAGCTTGAAATAAGTTCAAATTTAAAGTCGAATTTAGCTACCTGTTTGTCTTTATTACAGTACTAGGCATATAAGAGTTTTAACCCCTGCTTGTCAATTCAAAGTCTGTGATGTGGTTCAATGACCCCACCTGGTATCTTTTTACAAGTCTTAAGACCAGTTCCAGCCTATATTAATTGAATAGATCCAAGCCCAGCCCATGGATCTAAATAGCACAAACTGTACAGCTAATTTTTAAATTAAGTTCGGTTCGTAATTTTGACATATGATAACAAATAAGGGAAACGATGATGACATCTATACTTTTGGTCACTATGGACTATCCATAGGTTTTTGGATCTGGGCTCAATAATATTCTATATACAGTATACAGTATTACATATTGTATTACTATTCTTTTATCAAATAACTTTTCAAAAGGACTGTTATGTAAAAAATTCACTGAGCGCATGTGCAGATCGCATATTTGCATGTAATCATATGAGTGCGTACATACTTTCAAGCTAGATTTTTACACTTATTATATAATTTGAATACATATTGATATTTGAGACATGCAAATTTATTAAATAAAGTACTAAAGATTCGTTACTCTAGTCGTACAGCATATTTATTTGTAATCTCGTATTGACATGTATTATAATCTCTTTCGATCACTGTGCATAATATTTCTTTATTATGAAAAATTCTCCTCGTATCATAATTTACAGTAACTGGTAAATCACTTTATCTGTTATTTTGGGCAAGAACCGGTTTTATCTTGAAACCTTGGACGGTTTAATCCCGTAGAATCTTATGACACTGTATAAAACCATTTCATTACGAGTATCTGTTGCTAATGGTTAAAAGTACGTACTTAAGTATCTTGGATCTATGTAGTGGGTAAATGTCATTTATATATTACCAAAAGATAAACCATGACTTACAAATGTTAATATTTAATAATGCAAAAATTTTCCGATGTACGTTTATGCACAGATCGAAAAAAAAAGATAGGTTAATAAAACTTTAATTAATTAACTATTATAGCAAGTAAAACCCATCACACGCTCAACAAACCATATTAATATAGTAAGATTTTCCATCTATATATGTTTAAGTGATAATCTTAATGCTTGTGTAGTGTCACTGTTTATATATAAATTAAAGCAAAACCTCGGACATTTACATTAATATTTCTCTCTTTGATTATTTTTAAAAATAATGGATTCTTTTCAAGTAGATTCTTTTCAGCAAATAGATGAACTCATTAAGGAATATTTGTTAGTAAGTTTTTTTATTCATCGAATAAATTTGGAAATGTTTATCCTTTTTTTTTTCTGAATATAAATTTAAAATTCCGGTTTTATGGTGATAGTTCAGAGGATTTACAGCTACTTTTCGATCTTTTGAATCAGAATGCCGGAGTGATAAAGACAAAAGATTTCAGGTATAATTATCATCTAAAATCTTTAATATATTGGTTCATCAATCTTTAAAAATACATTTTCTTTTATAAATATAGGCTGAAAAAATTATCGAAGAATTATATACATTTATTACTAATAGTGATATAAATGGATTAATTGATTACTGGAAATATCTTGATCTAAGATATTTCTCGAGATTGGATGCAAGATTTTTTGGAAGTGTTAATAAATTTGAAGAGAATCTCTTAAAATATTATCTTGTATATGGTAGTCTTAGAAATTCATTATTACATTATCTTCTTCATCATTATCATTCAGGGTTTTGTTTGACCTTATAACATGAATATTAATTATTTAATATTACTTATTCTTTGAAAAAATTAGCAACACAACAGAAACGAAAAGAAAAAGTTTTAGAATTTTTTGACACATTTGGAACAGAGTTAAATGGAAACTCGGGATGGACTAAATGGTTTGGTAAGAATTTTACGATTGGTTTCAAAATTATCACAAGAATATCTTTCCTTATTTATAATATATATTTTTTTTATTCCTTTCAATCTGATAAATTATTTTTACCATTAATAAGGATTACCATTTTCGAAAGATCCGACAACTGATCCAAATTATGAAATATTTTTTACTAAACAGTGGTTAGAGATGTTTACTATATCTTTACATAACTTTCTTAATGCGATATTTCAAAATATGCGTATCCTTTTTTACATATTATCAAAAAATGATGCATGATATTTAACAGCCAATTTACATCTTGTAATTAGCGCAGAGTTTTTTAATTTATTGTCTTTGATGATAGATGATTTATTTTGCGAATTAGCTTTACCAAGTTTATTATGTTTCAATTTGGATCGTCTTCAACGATTCGTATTAGAAGATGCAATTCAATCTCTTCAAAATGAAATAGACAATATTAAAAATGTTAAAGCAGAAACAAAGAGTATTGATACTGAGACTAGGCAAAAGGTTTGATAAATTTTCTTTATTATCTATGTTTTAAAAGGACCCGTTTTTAAAATTATCTACTTAAAGTTTCATTTTGCAAATCTTTTATTATATAATTACTTTGTGATTTATTTTATATGGGACCCCCACAGCAAAAGGGAGGATGGGCCAAAAAAATTTTTTTAAAAAAAATTCAATATCTCGAAGAATCAAATTGATTAGAATAAAATTATCATAAGAACAAATTTTCAAATTTTTTGGCCCATCCCCCCTTTTGCTGTGGGGGGTCCCATATAATCTATCTTATATCTATTCAAAAATCAAATAAGAAATTTTTCGAAAATTTGTCAAAATGGGTCCTTTTTTAATACAAGGCACTAAAAGTATTATCTGTATTTTCTTATTGCATGATAATTTTCATTAATAGATCAACAAACCGCAAGAGTCAACAAACTATATGAAAATGTTACAACGTGCTAGGGCTTTATTCGAGCAAAAAGATAAAAATGTGTAAGTCTTATATTGAAATATATATTTCAATATTGTTTAGTCAATTACTGTATAGCATATCATATTTCAAGTTACCATCACTATACTAGTAAGTGTATATATTATATATTATTTATGAATTAATGTTTATTATATACATTGTTCATTTTTATTTTATATTTTTTTTCAGATAAAATCATTCTTTTTTAAGTCCTTCACGTTCACAATCCACTACTTCAAATAAAGGATTGGCTGTTAATTCAGATAATTACGGATCAAAGTCTCCTGAAATATACGCAGATGATTTGTGCCTTACTCCTATATCTGAATATGCTATAGATAATTCTCTAGAATTACCTGGTGAAGATATTAATCCGTTTACCATTATGAACCAGGTTTGTCATAAACATTTTGTTAATCCTGTTTTAATTAGTTACAAGACTCTAATTATGCGTTTCATATTTAAAGGAAATATACTTAGAGCACGCATCAGGAATATCGCTTGCTAAATTCTCACACAAGGGTAATTTAATCGCGAGCTGTGATATAGATAATATTGTTAGGTAAAAATATTGTTATTTTCCTTTTGTCTAAATTCATTTATGTTCCAGTACATTATAATTAGAATTGGTCAAATCATAAATTTGCTGGTCTTTAATTGAAGGGTCTATAGTCGAAATTATCTGGTCAAATTGGTCAAGCCTTCTAGTCTATTATTTAAATAGGTGGGTTGTACAAATACAATATTAATTATATATACAGTATAATTTGACCAATTTGACTGGTATTAAGCTCGTGAGCCAGACCAGACAAATTAATCTGGTTATGATTGACCGCTGACCAGTTCAAGTTAACCCTGATATAGCGAACAAATTAGAATAATTAATATTAACATCAATATAAACAGTTTATGGAGCTATTCCGGAACACCGGTTAAATGCAGGATCGATAATCTTAATTTAAACGTAACGTGTCTTGAATGGGAATCTAGATCAGATAAGCTTGTACGTTTTTTTTTTGTTTTACTCATGTTAAAATATTGTGAGTATTAGACTTTTAGAGGTTATAGGTTCTCAAAAGTATAGGTTGTTATATGGCTTGATTTATGTATAAATCTTAACACAAACTAATCTAACATATAAATAATACTTTCTAATAGTTTTTAATAGGCACAGATGAAAGATTTATCAAAATATTTAATAAAGAGTCACAATCCATTGTTCATGAGTTTCAAACGGATGAACATTTTCCAAGGTATGTAATATTGGTGATGTTATCGTTGTGAATTTTACTTTGTTAATAACTTGTATCACAAATAATATTATAATATTATAGAGTGAAACAGATAAATTGTTCACCTGTAGAACCATTATTTGCATGCTCAAGCTCATCTAAAGAAGTTGATGATGGATTGGTTAATGTTAATGGAGCATTAATAACGTGGAACTTAAAGACCATGATGATACAAGTATGAATATTTCTAATGTTCTTATTATGAATATTAAATGTGCAAACTAGATAAATAATCTATTTACAGTATAAGTGAATAGATATATGAACTTTGTTTAACTTAAGCCTGTTTACATATTTAACATTATAGGACAAGTTTATACTTGAACCATCCATATCAAAAGCTTCAGGATTACCTGTAGCTCCTATAGAGACTCTGCAATTCAATCACAATGGTCAGATGCTTGTTACGGGTGATAGGGCTGGATGCATACGTATATTTGGTATGTATTTACTTTTTTATATGAAATTTATACTCATATTTCATTAAATGCTTTAAGATTTGAAATTAATCTATTTTAAATTATAATTATAGACATTCGATCTTTCAAACCTATAATGGAATGGAGTTTACCGAAAGTAACAAATGTATCTCCAAGCAAGAAAGGGAATAGTGTTATTTGTTCTTCACTATTTAGTTTTGATGAAAATACTGTATATGTTGTTGATGATGCTGGCGATGTAAGCTTTAAAAATCATATGATATACAGAATCTTTGACATATTAAAAAAACAATTTGCATAAACATTTTAATTAATTTATAAACAATTCACTTATATTTTTAGTTAACGCAATGGTCCATTCACAAGCCAGGCACAATAATCTCTCATTCCCATCTTAACGGTTTCCCACCACATTCCTCACTATCACCGAACAATTCGACATTAACAAAATCGTCGTTTCGTAAAAGGACATCTTCAACGTCTTCAGTTAGATCTACTAAATCTAACAAATCTGTTAGTGGAATTTACAATTTAGCAACTAATGGATTTGGAGGTGGATCAACAAATGGTGGAACTAATGGTATTACAAATAACGGAAATGTTAATAAAGTACCTATGGTTTCGTTTAGTAATGATACCAAACATGTTTTGTGTGTTGGTGGAAATGGTGGATATCAGGGTGCTATTTATCAAGTAAGATATCTTCAAATCAACTTGTATTTATTTCGCACAAGCTATTTAAGAATATGTGAATTGTATAAAAGCATTTTGATTGAGAGTATGATAATTGGTTTAAAATGGCTTAAATTAATATTATAAAAAAATTTTTTTTTTTAATTAATTAACCATTTGATTGTTTATGATATAACAGACGTCAACAGGAAATCAGGTTCAATTACTGGCACCACATAATTCGCCCCTAACGGTTGTAGATTGGACAATGGTAGCTGGAAATTCGGTATTAACCGGTGCAACGGATGGATCCATAAGAGTTACCAAGATGGTTACCGATACTTCTAAATATACATCAAATTTTTAAAATAATTTTCGAGTCAAAATAAGCGTGAAATTTTTTATGCTCGTTGAAATTTCATCTATTTTTAGGGTAATAGGTGTTTTTAAAAGTAAGATAGATGTAAATTTATTTTTGAATTATTACTTTACAAAAAAAATATATTTATGAAAACCACCTAATGAGATGGTTACTGTTTTACTCTATTCATTATTAGTGTCATTTCTTACTACTTACCGGGTGGTGATAATAAGTGAAAACTTTAGTAGTATTAAAATTATTCATTTCCAGAGATTTTTATATAGTTATTTTTATTATTTTTTTAACACTAGGCATTTTTTTAAAAAAATCATCATTCATCTACTTCCTTTTTTCATTTTGTCAAAGTACAATACAGTCAACTCTCCATAAATATAATCCATAAGCGCAATGAAAAAAGTTCCACCTTTCAACTATTATAAAATTTATGTTTGACCAATTTTTGTTATATTGCATTTAGAGATGTTTGACTATTTTTAAAAGTAACAACATCCATTGATCGTTTTACTCTTGTTAAAAAATGTATAATAAGTATATTTTCATTCATCTGATATATTAAATTCAGGGTTGGTCAAATCACTGGTCGACCAAAAAATTCGTTGGTCAAACTGGTCTGGTCAAATTGGTCAAATGGTCCGGTCAAATTGGCTAGTCTATTAAATATATATATATAGTATCCCTTGACCAATTTGACCAGTACTAAACCCTTTGACCAACTGGTGCCAACCTTTTGCAGATCATTTGCAGATCAAATTGGGCGAAACTAGTTTCGGAGGGTTTCGGACTTATAGGGCTAAACTAAAATTCCTCTGGGCGAAACGTTTCGGACTTTGGGGGAGGTTTAGGCAGAAACACTGGTGCCAACCCTGATTAAATTATATAGATAGGATTATCCCTAATATTTTGAATGGTATCCTATGAGTGCGAAAAAATCCAAATTCTCCAAAGGAAATAATTAGTGTCCGCAGAGTTCAGGTTTTGTGCAGATTCGATTTATCGGTTCGAGCCTGGACTTACAGCTGTTCTCATAAATTATGGGACAATTGATAAAAAATATATATAAAATTACAGTAGTTCTATTACCAACAAGTATATAATTTTCTTTTTTTAAAAGAAATTATATCCTGAATACAATAACATTATTTATATATTCGAAGCCCTTGTGCACATAAGTTTTATAAACCTTGACCCAGTAATACTTTTTCTTGCATCATCCAGTGTTTTTTTTCATTATTATGTTGACAACCGCTTGTAAATCCGGTTATTAAAGGAACTACGAGACAGATGCTTTTCCAATACAGTATACGCAATTTATTTGGTCGTGCAGAAATTTATGACCTTGTCAACTAGCGGACTTCTCTTGAAATAATGAATGTGTCTTTCTAAAAGTGACAGGAATTATAAGCACATGAAATTGCTCGAGAATTCAATCTATAAAAAATTTGCTACAATTTATGCAATTTGGTTATTCATAGTATTTAGTTACCAGTTTACAAGAACAGCTGTAATAGATCACCATGATTTACTACCCGGATCTGGTCTTTTGAACCTAAACCGGGCTAGATCATTCCTTTATACAGCTCGCTCTCGTTATAATGAAGCCATCAAGCTGAGGAAAAAACCTAGTTGAGAGCTCACTATAACGAGAGTTATTAAATAATAAGCTGTTAAAATTTTAAATTTTCAGAACTTTGAATACAATCAACTGGCCTGATTTTAACGTAATCACATTGTCACAGCTACTTTATTTCCATAAGCAAACAAATAAAAATATGCTACTAATTATTATAATTTTGTTAAAATTACACATCTAATTCTCCATATTTCTTTAATTCCCTAATATGCAGATATTCCAGTAAAAATTTTAGTGGAGAATATAACAAATAAATGCTCCAAGCTGGCCACCAACTATTATTTTTTTTCACTCTAGATCCGTAATAATAATTTATAAAACCTTTCAACTCATCAGTCATTATAGCATCTACGTTATGGTTATTGCAATCATCTGCGTGCTCTTCTCTATTTACCGTCCAAGCAAATACTGGTTTACTTAATTCATGAGCATCATTAATAAAATTTTTACCATCATTATAGCACAGAGGAATGAATAAAATATTATAACCGTCAACATCAGAAAAATATTTTCTAGCAATATTCAATGAAAGACCAATGTGTACAATAGGCAATTCGGGTAAGTACTGTCTAGCAATTGGCAAAAATTTTGGATGCCAAATACCTAAAATAAATCTATCCTTAAAACGATTTAAATAATTATGTTGTTTTAAAAGGTCTGAAAGCACCATTAGAATCCTAGGTGAGTTCTCTAACTTTACATCAATTACTGCCCAAATATCGGAATCTTTTTGCTTCGAGAAAACCTCCAAAATATCTTGAAACCTAGGAATATTACAATGTGGTGGTTTCTTGGTAGTCAAGAATTCAATATATCCGTGAAAATTCTTGGTTGATACTTCACCACTACCTGTTGTTATACGATCCAATGATGTATCATGTAGTATAATTATTTCATCATCTAATGTTAACCGAATATCTGTTTTTTATGAAATAAATAACCTTTAATTTCCTATTCATTTAAAAAGAAACAATTGTATATAACACTAGATATTAATTACCAAATTCGATTGCGTCAGCACCATCAACAATCGCTTGTTCAATTGATAAAATAGTGTTTTCAGGATATGAATCACTAGCACCTCGGTGGCCAACAATAAATGGTCTATTTGTCCTCGATATAAAAGAGCTTAAACGACCTTTCGCTATCGGATTATTTTGGTCTAGAAATTAAGTTTACATTTGTTTAAATATATATGTATTAAAAGTCTTTCTGTTATAATGCCGTATAATTACCTTCCATTATATAAAAAATTAAAGAGCCCTTTTTCCTTTTAATAAAAAAAATAAAGGTTCAATATTAAATGATATATTTATACAGCTAAATAATGTATGTACAAAAAACTTTGCTTATTGCCAGTCGCATTTCGTTTTCTCACAATGAAAGTTTAAAATTGTCAATAATGATAAATTTGTACGTCTGTATATGCCTAAGTTTGCGTAGTGTATTACGCACAAATGGATAAATTTTATTTCATATACTGTATAAAAAAGGTTATCTTAGAAAAAATGATCCTTTGTTATGAAAACGATATAGCATCAAAAGGTCGATTTCAAATGTCAATAGCAGAAACCAAATATAATCGCTAGCTGTGGCAAACAATATAGTTCTTTCTCTACAATATTTATGTTTTATACGATAATTTGTTGAATGAAATCCGTTCCCAGAGTTCTAGGCTGAAATTCTCTGATGCAATAATAAATATTCATTAATATTCACATTTTTACTTGTTGGGATCACATGCCAAACACCATGCTTTAAACGTGTTGTCTTTATTACAATGTATGCTTAATCGTTGTCAAATATTATATATTTTTTATATCATTAAAAATTTATTGTAATACTCACTGACCGAATAGAAAGGTAATCTGAATAAGTGTTTGTAAACAATGAATCACTTTTTTAATCCACCGATTAATAGATCACCTCCCACTAATTAAGGTGAATGACAGCATACGGTATACAGCATTTATACGGCATGTGCACTTCTACTTATACGGCAAATATGCCGTATCGCCGTGATATTTTTGCTGGGGTAGCTACTCCAAAATTCTAAATGTTTGCACCTCTAGTCAGAAGGCACTCTTGTAGAAGCTGTGGCTCATTTGATTGAGGCATCCTTGTACCGATTGCCAGTTGAATATGATGTGGAGGTGTCAAGAGGTGAAAAACAGAGTATTGCCAGTAAAAAATTTAAAGTGCAAGAAATATCGGTTCAAGGGGGGGGGGGGCTGATCTAATGGTGCGAGCGTTTTTAGACAAAAATATAATGAGCTCGTATATATGAGAGTGGGAAATGGAAATCTAATGATGATAAAATTAACAGTGATCATTATAAGTTGGCCAGACTTTGCTTATGTGGTTATGAGGAGATCGCAAGTTGCATAAGATCTATATCTCATTTGGTATAAATATTGCAGGTGAGTTATAAGATTTGTAACTGTAGAATATAAATCGGTTTACTTACACTCTTTAATGTATAGGTGATCATTTAGTACTTCATAGTTTACTTCACGAGGAGGGTGTAGGGTGTAAAGTATTATCTTCCTATTGCTAAAGCGAAATTCTGTTTCATGATGAATCAGTTGAGGAGGTTGAAGAATTTGTAATGACATTACAGGTATGTTTTCTAAATAAAATGTGAAACAGATTATCCTCAATGCTTATTTTAAATTTACTCTCATATATAAAATGAATTACTTAGCCTCACTAAATTTTATAAGTAACTTTTTTATTTTACCTTGTATTTTATTTTCTATCAATAAAACTGGCCCTGGTGACTCAATTTCACAAAATAATCAGTTTACTTTTGCGTGTATATTTCATGAATTTATTTTATTGTATTGTTACTGATGTCTATTAACTTGCATATAATTGAGAGAGAATTTTCTTGGCATTTTATGAATATTGTTTGCTGAAATTTTTCTTGACAAAAGTGATTAGCATGACAAATTGCCATATTTACATGATTTTTATTTGAATAAAAAGCATTAACTATCAAAAAATATTTTCCAAAACATGTATAGTAAAATTCTTTTTTCAACTATTTTTAAAGTTATATCATATAAATTAATATTAAACATGCAAACTCAAGAGACAAATCTAATAACTAGAATCGAAAAAAAAAAAATATGCTTGAGACTGAGCTAAAACAAATTATAGAAGAAAATGCTAAGAAAGCAAAGTTAAAAGATGTTGGGCTCAATGCGGAACTAGAATGGTTAGCAACAATAATGTAGATAGATTAGAAAATAGCAATAATTTATCTGAAAATGATGTTAATATAACTGACCTTGTTATAAAATCCTTAAAGGATAATACTCCTGTATCTAATATAACTGATAATATTTAAAGTTCTAATATATATCAGGAGTCAAAGATTTAATGCTCTATATCATTCATTTATACAGAGTCTAAATCACCAGAAGATAAAGAGATCGAATTTCTGAATTGGGTACATAAAAAATAGGGGTCTGCAAACTGGGCTTATGCCCATGCCCAACAGAAGTTATAGGCATGGGCATGAAGATTAGGTATAGGCATAGACATGGGTATAAGAATTTGCCATAGGTATAGGCATGAATACAAAACTTTGGCATGGGTATGAGCATGAGCACAAAATTTTGGCATGGGTATAGTATGGGTACAAAAATTTGGCATGGGTATGAGCAGAGGCACACGAGTATAGACACTCATGCCCGACACATTGGCACTAGGCCGGACACTAGTGCCTTGTGCTATGTCTGTGTTTATAGGCACTAGTATCAGGCACTAATACCAAGCACAAAGATTAAGGGCTGATGGTCCTTTTAATCTATCACAGGGACCTATAAAATTTTTAGATATAAAATTTTCACAAAAAATCTAAAATTTCAAGTATTACCTCAAATTTTCTAAAATTTTTAAATGCTAGAAAATTTATATTAATAGCATATCAGAAATAAAAAACTCTTTCCAATGATTATTTTTACCACAAAAAAAATCCAAAATTCTTAAAAAACTAGCGTCCGTAAAGGTTGAAACAGACAGTGAAGAAGTCCTTAAGCTTTGTAACTCGGCAGTTGTTATTTAGAGGTAGTTCTCATATGCTATCTGCTAACTTCTTCAGAGTTTATCACTCACCGTGGGGGCCGGGCACTTGTCATTTAGAAATAGTTCTCATACGCTATTTGCCGACAAGCCCAAAGTTTATCACTTACCTGAAAAAATAAAGAGAGTACCTGTGCCTTCTTATGGATGCAGTGTGTTGAGTAAAGAAAATACACACTTCTTTACTAAACAAAACAAAGTGGTTTCATCTCTTTTCTCCACCTCCTCACCGCTCTTCTAAAATTTCCCACAAAGTGGGCAAAATGGTTTACCCCTCCAAAATATCGGCATTGTTTACTCCTTCCAAATCTGGACAGTTCCGGCAGACTGCGATCATGTGTCTGGTTTGTTTTGTTTATAGACTGTGCTGCTTCATGTAATACCGAGGTTGGCTGCTTATGTCGTTTAGGAGTCTGGATGATCTAGTCAGAAAATTTACTTGATAAGGCGAAGCTTTATAATAGAGATATACAAATATCATATTTGTTATATAATTTTTTCAGCCCGGCATGGGTTATAGTAGTGCCAAAAAGACAGAATTTTCTAAGTAGATCAGCGGTGGCAAATTGAGATAGCAGTCATATGAAGATTATCGGAAAATTCATAAACATGATTGGCTAATTATTTTAATTTTTACAATTAGTTATCATTTCAATTTTTACTTAAGATACTAAAAGAGAACAAACTGTTCATATATATGTACTACTGTATATAGCAATAAATTTAGAAAATAAAGTTTTTTGTTATAATCATATGTATATACAGTATATATATATATATGTATAAAATCTACTAATGCGGCAATATAAATTTTGCAATTATTTATATATATTGTAAAACACTTATAAAGCTTGTACTTTAAATCAGTTTTTATTTTTGAAAAAAAATTTTTACTAAGAGATTCTATATGTTATAATATCGAATTATATACTAACAGTTATTAGAAATTGTGCGAAACATAAATATATGCATACATATATTGTTGTATAACAATAAAAATTGCCAGTTCAGTTTTTAATATAAATATGCATGTATAAAAGAAACAAAACCTCATAGAAAGTATAAATAAATAAAACTCCATAAAAATCATGTATGAGAGATAAATAAAACCTTAGATACTTCACCAGCTTCAGATAATTATAGTCGTTCTTAGTTTATCTTCGCATATTCTAATAACATATTTTCACTAAATTGAATAAAATTAATTAGTAAATTAGTAATAATAAAAAACATAATATAATAAAATAGAGATAATACTTATCAAAGAATAGCATAAGCGGAAAAATAAAACTTTATAAAAAGGTGGTTTTGCAATAATAAAAAGTTATAAAATTATCATTATAAAATTATCAAGGTTTTAGATATAGCATATTTGTATAATTTTCTTGTATTTGAATATTATTTATTATATAAATAAAAAACATAATATATAATAAAGTAAGAATAATACTTACCAAAGAATAGTATAAATAAAAAAATAAACCTTTTTAAAAAAGCGGTTTTGCAATAATAAAAAGTTTGTAAAAATTATTAAGGTTTTAGACATAACATATCGTGTAATTTTTTTATACTTAAGAGATTGCTATAAATAAGCTAAAAAGTATATAAAATATACTTATTAAATCTTGTAAATTTGATTGATAATATAGCAATAATTAAAGCTAATAGCTTATTTAGACCAAATAGCTAATACCGCTAGCGATCTTAATAGTAAAGAGTGTTTATGTTGTGGAAGAGACAAGATTCGTATTGAATTCATTAGATCCTATGGAGATCGTGAAGGAAAAGAAAGTAAATATTCTAATTGCAATAATTGTGCAAGAAAAAAGAGAAAATCTTCGAATTATGAAGTTAATAAAGATAATCAGTATCTTCATGAAAAGAAAATAATTTATAATAATGAAGATAATGAAGATAATATTTTGTATGAGTTGGCTGAGTTAGAAGAGTTGGTTGCTGACTATTTTACAAATACTAAAGAAGATCAAATAAAGTTTTTAAAAAACTTTGAACTTGAAGATAAATTAATTGATAGTTCTCAAATATCAAATAATAGTCAAGAAAATATTCATAAAATAGTTTATTTATTTTTGTTACCTATTGAGGCCGGATCTTATTATTATTGGGAAATTAGAAAAATTTATATTCATACCAATAATGCTGAACAAGTATCGGTATATCTTGGATGTACTCAAAGAGAAGATAGAGAATATAAACATCCACTTGATCAACTAATAAAGAGAATAAATGAAATTCGACCTCCTATTAAACAGTTTGCATGTAAAGAAAAAATTACAATTAATATTAATTTTGAAAAACGTTAAGTAAAGGTTGAAATATGGCATTTAATTTCTCATGAGCAACCAACATATTACGAAAATAAATTACTTAAAGCTGCTATAGCATGGATATCTAAGAATTTAAATTTGAATCTTAGAAAAATTGAAATTTATAAAAGGCTTAGCGAAGAACATCTCATTAATCCAGAAGTACATACCTACAAGCAGGTATATTATTGGGCTTCAAAGGTTTCTGGTCAACAATATACAGTATAACCTCAATATAACGAAGCTCTGGAGCTAGAATGTTTGGTTCGATATATCAAGGTTTTGGTCCATTGAGGTACTTTACTATAACGAATCCATATATAATTTTATAAAATATTCGGTTTACAAATAATATCCCTTGATATAACAAACATATATATTTATTTATAAAACGTTCGGTTTATATAATGTGTTCCAATATAAGAATTTAATTGATAGAGTTACACAAAAGTTTCATTATACTATAAAATATTTCACTTTATCAAGGTATTCGTTATATCAAGGTAATTTTATTATAAATAAAAAAATTTTTTCTTCGTTATACAGTATATCAAGGTTTTATAATTAAAATTCGCCATATTGAGGTATTTTTGTAATAAAAAATTTTAGCTAAAAAAAATCTTCGCTATAATACCAATTTGGTATATTGAGGTTTGTTATATCGAGGTTATACTGTATTACTATAGTATCTAATCAACTCCTTTCATCTTTAAATTTTTTAACACAAAATGAATTAGTAAATGAAGGATTCAAAGTATTGTTATATATAGAAAATGATTTTGTTCGGGCACTTGGATTTCTGACTCCTTTTAATAAATATATACAAAAAACTGATATTAATAAAATTATTGTTGATTCTACTTACAAAACTAATTAACAGAAATTCAAACTTTTTGCAGTATTAATAAATTTTGGTGGACATGGAGTACCTCTTGTATACCTGTATCTTGACACATTCACTGCTCTAAAAAATCTTCTTAAAGATCCTAAAAATAAAGTTCATTCATGATTTAAGATTCTTCTAAATTTTTTTTTATCATTAAAAAAAAAGAGTATTCTACCTACTTTTGTCCTTATGGACAAAGATGCAGGTCAAATAACAGCCACACAGGAAGCATGGAATTGGAAAATAAAAATACAATTATGCCTATAGCATATTAAATGTGCAATAGGTAAAAAACTAAAAGAAAAAAAATATAAATCTAGTCAATATACAGTACAAAAAGCAAAAGAAGCAAATAAGCGATTTAATTTTGTTGATATTTCTTGGATTCCTAAGAATGATAAAGATACTCCATGTCTAGATAAAATTTTAAGTATAGTTTATAGATATACATTAATGCACCCTCTTATACTAATTAATAAAGAGACTTTTCTTACATAATCTGAGATTTATTATAAAAGTATTAAGAAAATTTATCAATACTATAAAGATAAAAACTTTGCTTATGTGTGGGGCTACTTGTGGTCCAACTGGTATAATAAGAATGATTGGAATATCTTTGCCCAGGCTTCCTTTTCAAGAGCAATTCTATTAGCAAGAACTACAATGCTTGTAAAATCACACTGGTGTGTTCTTAAACATGATTATAAACATACTTATAATAGACCTCGTTTAGACCGCCTAACACAAATCCTAACAAGAAGTCTAATTCCAAATTAATTTAATACTTGGGAAAGATATAACAATAAACGAGCTTTGCCATCCTGGTGAAATTCATTTAAAGATGAATAGAAAAAGTCATTAGATAAAAAATTAGCATTGAGGATAAATATTTAACAGATATCAATAACTGGGTTTGTTCATGTCCCGCATTTGTAAATAATGCTTACATGGTTTGCAAACACCTTGTTAAAGAATATACTGATAAAACTCAATTATTTTCCCAATATAAAATGACAAAATGCTGACATGACTATCTATTCATCTTATTTGGCAAAGCCTCCACAAGTATTAACCCTACTAACAACCCTTGGATGGATACTATTGAAAGTCTTGTAGATAAATTAGAGGATTCAATAAACGAATATGATTATAGTGCAGAACTGAGTCTTAATGCTTGCAATGAATTAATCGAATTTAGAGAAATTGAATTAGCAGAAGACAAAAAAATATTTGAATTCTTATTAGATACTGTTACTTCGAATATTCAAAATGATAATTTCTATAATACGTATAGAAAATTAAGACAAACCTTAATAACTGAAGCAAGGGCTTGTCAAAAAGCTTTATCCGCCAGAATACAGCAAAAAACTTGGAAACCTCCACGTAATTCAAGGCTTGCATTTTATTTAAACTAACTACTAAGAAAATTATTATAGAAATATGAGATTTTCTATATTATAAATTAGATTGAATTAAACTTTTATATTACTAGACTTTACTTTTTCGAATATATGGGGGTGAGTCAATAGAAATCAAGCAAATTTTTTATAATAAAATTTTTTTCTAACTTTAAACAAGAATAA